CACCACCATCCCTCAGGTAGGGTCTCCTTCCAAGGCTGGGATAGACCTGCACTACCAACACTGAAGAAGCCCCTCCCCACAGCCCAGCCCCCTCAGACCACGGTCTCTGCAGAGACCTGCCTGCTAGCGATGATCGATCCGCTTAGCACTTCGTGGTCTCGTGTCAGTGCCACCTGCAGGAAAGCAAAGCCTAGGGTGCCCCAGCATCCAGACCCAGGGAGTGCTCCCCAAACAGCTTGAGTGACAGGATGCCACCCCTACACTGGTCACCAAGTGGCTGCCTCTGCTGGGCTTCCACTGGCAGGCTGTCAGCCTCTGTGTGGTGGGTCACACAGCCCTAGCGGTCCCAGGCTCACTGACTGCTGGACTCTGAAGGACTTGCCTCACATTGGCCTCCCTGCAAGCAAGCCTCTGTAGTACAATCCATCTCTTCTTCCAGGAGCCACAGGGAGGGGTGGGGTAGCACTCAGAACAAGACCTGTGAGCCTTGCTTGGCAACAGAAAATAACGTAAGGGCATGGCCAACCCCCTCAGGAGCCCCTGACACACAGAGCTAAAGCCCAGCAGTACCTCTTCCTGCAGCGGAACTTCTGCACCGGGGTCAGCGCAGCCACACCCAGCTTCCTCCTGGCCAGGTCGTAGTGAATGTCGTTCCAGAGCTGCACCAGCTCACGGCTGCCTCCTGGCACCCGACAACCCTGTCAAGGAGAGTCCACTAAAGCCACATGTTGGTAGGAAGAACCAGGTCTGGATGGACCCACGGTTAGCAGTGCTGAGGGCTACAGTGGGAAAGGAATAAACAGGCACAAGCTAGAACCTGGAACAAGTGACATCAAGCGGCCAGGGAGGCATCAACTGCACAGAGCAAGGTCTTGGCCTCCTGCAGAGGGAATGACATACTGAGAGGGATTCCAGGTGCCGCCAGACTGGGGACCGGGGTGATGATGGGTGTACCTGGCCATCTGATCACTGTCAGCGCTTCAAAGCCAGAAAGAAATCAGGTTTCACTCCACCTGCTGTGTTTATGAGCTGGCACCACTTGATGCACATCCAGTACTCAGATTCCCAAGCTGCTTGTAACTCACTCAAGTGAGAATTACCGGAACTAATCTTTGTATAAAACACCTCTCCCAGGCAGCCCTAAGGGGTTGGTCTGTGAGATGTGGGCCAGCAACTCATTGCTAGCTCCCGGCATATGGATAATGCTTGAATGGTGCACCCTGCCCCTCCTTCCAATGGCCACTGAGCCCACATGTACCTCCAGAAGCCGGCAGGCCGCCTGTTGCTGCTCCTGCTGGGCCAGGACACGGGCACACACCAGGGCCACATCTGCATTGTCCAGGAGGTGCGGGCACAGCTGGCTGTCCAGGATGGCAGAAACCAAAGGCTGCATCTGAGTGAGGGTCATCTTGGATGTCACGGCGTAGGCTGCCCGCGAGGGGCACCAGCTCCGCCGGGGGTGGGTGGGTGTTCCCGTGCTCCCTCAGCAACATCAAGAAGCTCTGCATCATGCCACTCTGCCAACAAAGACCAAGATCAGACCATGTGCACACAGCAGGCCACACTGCAACCTCCATGCCAGATCAGCTGTGGTGCCCAACTGGGAATGGCCAAGGACCACACGCCTGCAAAATTTCCTTCTACCCTCCACCAGAAAAAGTCTGAATCCTGAGAGGGTGACCCCACGGGAGAGTGGCCAGCACTAGTCCACCTCTTTGTCAACACTATTACTGATGTCATTGGAATGAGGTGGGGAGAGAACTCCTGCTAGTCTACTCCCCAAATATCCACAAGAGGCTATGCAAAGCCAGGTGAAAATTAGTATGGACCTCCCACGTGGACAACACAAACCGACCACCTGCACTGAGCTATCACCCGCTGCTTCCCTGCCTCCCAGGGTGCAGTTGGGGGCCAGGCTTGAACCCAGATACCTCACAACGATAGGTGGGATCCCCAGCAGACTTAACTGTTACTCCAGAGCCTGCCCCCAGTCACCTGACTTCCCTGAGCCTCCCTTTTCCGCACGAGATAAACTTGATTCTGTTTCCTCGGGGAGGCCCCCAAGGCGTTCCGGGGCACTTGCCCACTGCCGCTGCTGCTCACTGAAAACGCTCAGCTTCCACAGGTTAGCCCGGAAAGGGCGGCCATGAGCAACGGGGTCTGTACCCAGAGCCTACCAAAAACACTCCCGGGCTAAAGCCTAGGCCTCCACTTCGCCTGGTGCCCTGTGCCACCGCCAGGTCTCACTACAGTGCCAGCTCTCTCCTCACGGGGTCCTGACCCCTCACCGCCTCCTCACTGGGTCCCGACCCCGAGTCCCAGCAGCTCCTCACATATCCTCAACCCGTGTCCCAGCACCTCCTCACCCGGTCAGCCCCCACAGGGTCCCGACGCCCCCTCACCCGGTCCCGACGCCCCCTCACCCGGTCCCGACGCCCCCTCAGGGTCCCGACGCCCCCTCACCCAGTTCCGACGCCCCCTCACCCGGTCCCGACGCCCCCTCACCCAGTCGCAATGCCCCCTCAGGGTCCCGACACCCCCTCACCCAGTCGCAATGCCCCCTCAGGGTCCCGACACCCCCTCACCCGGTCCGACGCCCCCTCAGGGTCCGGACGCCCCCTCACCCAGTCCCGACGCCCCCTCAGGGTCCCGACGCCCCCTCAGGGTCCCGACGCCTCCTCAGAGTCCCGACACCCCCTCAGGGTCCCGACACCCCCTCACCCGGTCCCGAAACCCCCTCACCCGGTCAGCCCCCTCACCCGGTCCCGACGCCCCTCAGGGTCCCGACACCCCCTCACCCGGTCCCGACGCCCTCTCAGGGTCCCGACGCCCCCTCAGGGTCCCGACGCCACCTCACCCCGTCCCGACGCCCCCTCTGGGTCACGACGCCCCCTCAACCAGTCCCGACGCCCCCTCAGGGTTCCGACGCCCCCTCACCGGGTCCCGATGCCCCCTCAGGTCCCGACACCCCCTCAGAGTCCCGACGCCCCCTCAGGGTCCCAACGCCCCCTCAGGGTCCGGACGCCCCCTCAACCAGTCCCGACGCCCCCTCAGGGTCCCGACGCCCCCTCAGGGTCCCGACGCCCCCTCACCCGGCCCCGACGCCCCCTCAGGGTCCCGACGCCCCCTCACCCGGTCCCGACACCCCCTCAGGGTCCCGACACCCCCTCACCCGGTCCCGACGCCCCTCAGGGTCCCGACACCCCCTCACTCGGTCCCGACGCCCCCTCAGGGTCCCGACACCCCTCAGGGTCCCGACGCCCCCTCACGGGGTCACCTTCTCACGGGTCTTCACTCCCGGCGCCAGCGTCCCAAGCCCTGGACCCGCGTCCTCAGAGAAACCGGGGCTCCGGGAGACCAGGGCGGTGGAGGTGGGGGAGCTCCGGAAGACAGACGGCAAGGAAGGACGCGCGCACCGGGCGGCCGGGGCCTCCACCGGGCTAACCGACCTGCCCTACCGTGCCCGCTGCTCTCGCTGCTCTCGCTGCTCTGGGCCCGGGTGCAGCCCCGGGTGGAGGCCCAGGCTCACACCCCGTGCTGGGCGTCCAGGGCTCCCGCCCGCCACGCCGACTCACCTGCAATACCGTCCACTTCCCGCTTCCGCTGCGCGGACGTGCCGCACGAGCTCCTCACTCCCGCGGGACCGGAGGCACGGTCGCCCGCTGGCCCAGGACTGGAGTGGTCGCTACCATGTACCCACCCGCGGCCAATCACGAGGGGCAGACTGGCGGGGCGGGGGCGCTCAGGGGCAGCCGGAAGGAGTGGAGCTGCCTGGGGTGGGAGCCCTCTGCCCGGGGCGGGCGGGAAGAGGCGCGCTCGCCCCACGCGCTCGCCCCTCTCCCGGTTTCCCGGCGCCGGGCGCTGCTCCCCGACACCCGCTCCCCGTCCCCAGCCTCCCCGGAGACGGCGCTATTGGAATCCACACGCGCACGGTTCTGAATGCCCCAAAAAGGGCTCTGCTTGTGGGCAGGGAGGGGTTCCGACCCTAGGGCCTGAGCCCTAGTGACCACCGCACCGAGGAAGACATTAGGCACCTGTCGTCAACACCGGCCCCCACGATCTGGCCTCGCCCCTGCGTGCGGGGACACGTGACTCTTGTGCTGCAGACCGACCACGTAGGTTTCCAAGGTGGGCCAGGTCAGACTTGAATACAATTTTATTTTATTTTTATTGGAAAGGCAGAGATACAGAGAAGAGGAGAGACAGAGATGAAGATCTTCCGTCCAATGATTCACACCCCAAGCAGCCGCAATGGCTGGAGCTGAGCCAACCCAAAGCCAAGAGCCAGGAGCTTTTTCCGGGTATCCCATGTGGGTGCAGGGTCCCAAAGATTTAGGGTGTCCTCGATTGCTTTCCCAGGCCACAAGCGGGGAGGTGGATGAGAAGCGGGACTGCCAGGATTAGAACCAGCGCCCATATAGGATCCTGGCATGTTCAAGGTGAGGACTTTGGCCCCTAGGCCATCATGCCGGGCCCTATGTGTATAAACTTTTAAAACATATGACTTATTGGGCCCGGCGCGGTGGCGCAAGTGGTTAAAGGTCCTCGCCTTGCACGCCCGGGATCCCATGTGGGCGCCGGCAGCCTCGCTTCCCTTCCAGCTCCCTGCCTGTGGCCTGGGAAAGCAGTGGAGGACGGCCCAAAGCTTTGGGACCCTGCACCCGCGTGGGAGACCCGGAAGAGGCTCCTGGCTTCGGATCGGCATAGTTATATTTTTATTTATTGATATATTTATTTTTATTTATTTATCTAAGTTTTTATATTTATGTCTGTTTTTATTTATATGTTTATTTATATTTATTTCACCATTTCATATTTACATAGCTATTTATATTTATAGATTTTAATATTTCTATTTATTTTTATTTTTATTTATTTATATACTTCTCTATATTTATTTACATTCCTATTTATATATCAAATTATATTTATTTACATATTGATATATTCATATCTTTTCTATTTACATTTATTTCGGATATTTTTTATATTTATTTACATTCCTATTTATATATCTATCAATTTTTATTTATTCAAATATTTATTTATATATTGATATATTTATATTTTTTATATTTATATTTTTTATTTATTTATATATTTTTCTATATTGATTTACATTCCTATTTATATATATCCATCTTTATTTATTCAAATTATATTTATTTATTGATATATTTATATTTTTTATATTTATATATATTTCTGATATTTTTGTATATTTATTTACATTCATATTTATATATGTATCTATTTTTATTTATTCAAATATTCATTTATATATTGATATATTCATATTTTTAATATTTAGATTAATTTTTATATTTTTCTATATTTCTTTACATTCATATTTCTATATCAAATTATATTTATTTATATATTGATACATTTATATTTTTATATTTTTATTTATTGATATATTTTTCTATGTTTATTTAAATTGCTATTTATATATCAAATTATATTTATTTATGTATTGATATATTTCTATTTTTATATTTAAATTTATTTTTAGTTTTATTTATTTATATATTTTTCTATATTCCTTTACATTCCTATTTCTATATCTATCTATTTTTATTTATTCAAATTCTATTTCTCTGTCTCTCCTCTCTGTATATCCGCCTTTCCAATGAAAAAATAATAAAAATAAATTAAAAAAAAAGAGAGAGGATGAGTGATCCAGGATGCCTGTGGGGCAGTCTCTGCTATGGTGGCACTGAGTCTGGGTCTAATTAAAAGACCAGGAGTCCCAGCAGAAGAGCCTGGCTCTCCCCGCCAACAAACAGGATCTAAGTAGGTCAGTAACGGGTGCAGACACGGTCTGCTCCAAGTAGACTCACCTGTGAGGTTAGGATCGCTGAGGGCAGCGACAGACACAGCCAGAGCATCATCTGCAGGGTGCATCACAAAGTCCTGCCTGTGACCGGGGACCAGATGTCCAGCCTGCAAGGAAATATCCTTGGAGGATGCAAGCGCAAGGGACATCAACCACGATTCAGAGGCCACCAGAGAGGGCTCCACAACGCTACTGTTGGCAGGCAGAGTGCAGAGACCAGAGCCAGGGCAGATGGTGAGGACGGAGGCAGGATCATTGCCATGCTCTTCCTGGTGCATCTCACCACCCTGCAGGAACCTGGAAAACATAGCAAAGACTGTCCCTCCATCGACAGTGGGGGCTACACAATGTAGGCTCGTCTAGGTTCAACCACAAAGGCTGCAGGGCCCAGCACAGCACTAACACACTGCTCCTATTCTATTTTTTTTTTAAGAAGAAGGGTTTTCTTTATTTTTATTATTATTTTTTTTATTGGAAAGGCGGATATACAGAGAGGACAGACAGAGATGAAGATCTTCCATCTGATGATTCACTCCCCAAGTGAGCGCAACGGGCCAATACTATGCCGATCCGAAGCCAGGAGCCTCTTCCGGGTCTCCCACGCGGGTGCAGGGTCCCAAAGCTTTGGGCCGTCCTCGACTGCTTTCCCAGGCCACAGGCAGGGAGCTGGAAGGGAAGCAGGGCTGCCGGGATTAGAACCGGCGCCCATATGGGATCCCGGGTGTGCAAGGCGAGGACCCTAACCACCCCGCCACCGCGCCAGGCCCCTATTCTAAACCTATGACTGCCACTACAAGGACTGTATTCCTACGAAAAAAATCTAGAAATACAAAAGACATTTATGTAAAAGATTGATTAATTTGAAAGGCAGAGTTATAGAAAGAGAAAGAAGACACATAGAGACAAATCTTCCATCCACTGGTCTATTTCCCAAATGGCTCGGCTGAGCCGGTCCAAAGCCAGGAATTCCATCTGGGTCTCCCACATGGGTGCAAAGACCCAGGGAGTTGGTCCATCCTCTGCTGCTTTCCCAGGCTATCAGCAGGAAGCAACTAAAATTTAAACCAGCAACCACACAGAATGGCGGCACTGCAGGGGCAGCTTTACGCACCACACTGCAACGCCAGACCCAGGGCTAGACTGCACCAGACCTGGCTTCCAGAGATTACTTCATGAAGACCAACCACAAAAGCATTCATAGTTTATTTACAATGAGCTTCAATGCAGTGTTGGCAACTTAACATGATTAGCAAAAGCCCAATAGTCCAGAAAATAAATGCCAGTTGATTTTAAAGGCATACAAGGCAGAAGTTGGTAACGAAGCATTGCATTTCAAGGAACGCTCACTGCATCCCCTCCCTGGACTTCAGTAACACACCATTTTACAGCTGGAATCGAGGTCATACGAACCTACCAGAGGCCCAGGTACAAATGTCCTCAGGAGGGACCACATGCAACACAAGCGTGTGACCTAACGATCAGACCTGACATGAACCTCAGGCCCACAGCTGACAAACACCGAGCTCTCTGTACTTTCCTTATCTTTATGAGGCAGCAGACAAATATGGGCTGGTTGGAAAAGCAGCAAAAATCAAATTCTAAAACTCTTTCATGACCTGTTCCTCCTTTTCTCTATCTGCCTACTGTGAGAAGGACTAACGAAATAAGCCAAGAAAAAACACTACACGCTTAAAAATCCTTCACTTAGCAGCAGCATGGCCTCCCCCTAGGTGACTTCTGGACACCTCACCACTAGGAAACCACACCCCCAGCTGCCCTCAGGACTCAGCCTCAGCCTTGGTCTGAGCTTGGATTCTTGGTTCACTCACACTCTTTCGAAGCTGGCGTTGAAGTGTGTTGGGTTAAGCTGTGGCCTGCAACTCTGACATCCCATACTGGACCCAGCAGTCTCAGCTGCTCCACTTTCCAAGTTACCTCCCCAGCAATATACCTGGGGAAGCAGTGAAAGATGCCGCCCTGGGTGCCGGGACCCCTGCCACCCAAACGCAAGACCCGGAAAGAGCTGGTTCCTGGCTTTGGCCTCACCTGGCTCCAACTGTTGAAGCCATTTGGGAAATGAACCATAAAATAGAAAAAAAAAAAATCTCTTGTTCTCCTTTCAAATACATTGTTTTAAAAAGTGCACTTGGTTTTCCTGTAATAAAGCCATATACTTCTTCTCCAAGGTTCAAAAATGCCTGCTGCAGGTGCTCAGCTTCTTCCTTCCCACATTCCTTCTGCGAGGTCTTCCTGGCAGTACACAAAGCAGAGTGCTCAGACAGCATTCTGCAAAGGAGAAAGGTGCTGACCGCACGGGATGCACAACAGACAGACTACAGCAGACTCACAAACCACAAAAGCTGGGGTCGTCTGCAGGCGAAGTCAATCTCCCCCCTTTTCCCAAACACACATGAAGGTGGGCCTCGCTCCATGTCAGGTTCCAGAGTCACAGCTGCTCTGTCTCTGATGTGGCTTCCCCTTCCTCCAATCAATCAGCAGTCACTGACCTGGTACCTGTGCGGTGGCCCCAGCACACTCACGCCCACTTCCCATCCTCACCTTCAGCTGAGAAGGCGAACGAACAGGTGAGATGGCCCCATAGCACGTGAGGACAACAGTACCTGGGAGCCAGGGGCCTTGAGATCGTCTCAGCTCCAGGAAGGTCTGTGACCAGGGCCAGGGCCTCCCAAGGTCATTGGAGGGCGTCTGGAGACTGCGGAGGTACGCCGTCCCTGGGCCAGGCTGGAAAAAAACAGAGGGAAGGAGAGGCTTCGGGACTCTATCTCGGCCTCCCTTCCAGCAAGTAGAGCAGGGTGTGGCCACTGGGTCATCAATCTTTGCTGTGAGCTATCCCCAGACCCACATCTACTCCCTGATCCCCACACCGATGCCCATCTATCTCCACATGGCAATCTGGGCACACGGGCGGGGGGCCGGGCACCTACAACCTCACCTACACCATTCCTCGGCACAGTCTGACTCTCTCTACCTTCAGGATTAGCTGGCCACCAGGTGAGGTCTTGACTGTGCTGAACATTGGTGAGGTCTGCACCTATAGCCACAGTGCCCCTGTTCCAGCGTCCCGTAACAGTTAATGCAACGAGGGGGCTTGTCAGAAAGCAAACCTCCAGATACCATGATGCTAGGGCCTTGGAGACACCCACCGGACCAATGACACCAGCGGTCCAGACGTCTCTCCTTTGTACCGGGGTCTTTGGCCACCACCCGCTGGGCTGGCTGCACATGCTGGAGCAGGGACTGCTGGCACCGCCGGTAATTAGCAAACCAGTTGTAGACCCGCTCTGCAGTCAAGCCAAACTCTCCTGTCCGAAAACAGCACAATTAGCTTTGTTAACTCCTGGTCCGTGCCCACACTTCCACAGAAACCAAGCTGACCCCTCCAGAGGCAGCAGAATCGGCACCCGCTGCGCTGGTGGCTGACCAGGGCCTCTCCTAGCCACCTGCTTGGAGAAGACACAACACCTCCCAGGCCCAGGCTCAGTTCGGGAGTCAGGCCAGGCCAAGCGTCCTAGGGAGCAGAGCCTCAGCAGGCCTTGCAGAGCAGGCCCGCAGTGTCCTGAACCTCGGAAGGGGCCCGCAGTGTCCTGAACCTTGCAGAGCGGGCCCACGGTGTCCTGAACCTTGCAGAGCGGACCCACAGTGTCCTGAACCTTGCAGAGCAGGCCCACAGTGTCCTGAACCTTGTAGAGCAGGCCCGCAGTGTCCTGAACCTTGCAGAGCAGGCCCGCGGTGTCCTGAACCTTGCAGAGCGGGCCCGCAGTGTCCTGAACCTCGGGAGGGGCCCGCTGTGTGCAGTCACCGCCCCCAGCACCATGCACCCCACACACATGGGGCGAGCCTGAGCAAAAGCGCCAGCAGAGAGGGGGGACCCAGCCCAGTAAGCAGCAGACAGGAGAGGCCACCTCGGGAGGGGCCTGCTGTGTGCAGTCACCGCCCCCAGCACCATGCACCCCACACATGGGGCGACCCTGAGCAAAAGCCCCAGCAGAGAGGGGGGGGACCCAGCCCAGTAAGCAGCAGACAGGAGAGGCCACCAGGAGGAGCCATGCAACCGCGGGACGGATGTGCTGAGGGAGCAGGAACCAGGCACTGTGGGCCAATGCCCCTACCCTCAACCCACACCCAGTACCAGCCATCTCAGCCTCCATGCCTACAGCCACACTGAGAACCTAAGAAGGCGACTGGGACTGCCCTCTGTAGACTAGGCACAGGGCACGCCCTCCCAAAAGAGGATAAAGAACAGGCGTGGGGGCAAAGGCCCAGGGACAGGCAGCTGAGGCAGAGGTAAGGCTTCCACCTGTTCTTACCCGCTGAGCCTTGCTGGGGTTAATGCTCACGGCCAAGGCAAAGTCTTGAAGCCTCCTGCGGACCTCTCTGGGGAAGTTCCGACTCTTGAGGCCATCCGGGCAGAGGCCTGCGGGTGGGGGATTCCTGGAGGAGATGAGAACAGCACAGTGAGGGGGCCCAGCGGTCCCCTGCCCTGTGACAGCAACATTTCTGAGGCAAGCCTGTCCCACAAGTGAAAATCAGCGTCTAACCCACACACCTGCAGGCCATGGCGGGGAGCTCAGCCCCAAGACCCCCAAAGAGGGCTCCAGGATCTGGGTTCCCACCCCTATGTTTTCACATTTCCATATGGCTTTTCCCTGTCCTCCCTGTCTGCCCATGGGACTTATGAGGCAAAGTCCTTGGCCTTCCCACCCATCTCTCAGTGCAGCCCCACCCCCATACCCTTGTGCCCTTCTCTGCCCAGCACTTCCTCCCTAGATTTCACTGAGTTATCATCACTGACTTGCCACCATGGTGCCTGCCAGCCCACTGCACCCCTCAAACCCATGGGACCCCGGCAATGAGGCTGCAGCTGATGTTCTGTGTATTGGCTCCACTTCCCTGCCTCCCTAAGGACCTTCCAGATTCCATTCCAATTCAAGTGTTTCTTGCACCAGAGGCATCGGGGCTGGTAAACATTCTGGCGGCTCTCACCTCCCCCCAGCCCTCCGGCTGCTGCCTCAGTCAGGGCTCTCCCAGTAAAACTTCTCTAGCTTCACCCAGGGTCACTGAGCCAGCTCCTCCCCTCACCACGGGCAGCAGAGGGTCACTGCTGTTCTCCTTTATCACCCTGGACTTCCCTCCCTGCATGCCACACCCCGCACTTCCCCTCACCCCCTGGCCACTCCTCAGCTGACCACTGCAGGGGGTATGAGGAGCAGCTAGGCTGCTCAGGCCACTGGACAACATCCCCAGCACTACTCCTGAGATTGAAGCCTCCTGGAGCTAGGCAGAGGACATGTCCAAGTTGGTCACAGTTTTTCGCCACCACTGAATATATCTTCATTTCTACTGAGGACAAATATCACTTCAGTTGAAGATTTCAGCTGCAAAGCCTATGTGGACGTACATAATGCAGTGGGCACCTTACACATCCCAAATGCAGCTCATCTCCCTGGAACCACTCACCCCACCCCTGCCCTGTGTGCCTAAACAAGAACCACCACACTCCTGGTTCCAACCCAGGGCCCAAAGCCCTGGAATCTCTTCCCTTTTCACTGCATACAACTGTTCTTGGGCCATGATTTGGGTCCTGGACAATGCCTGAGCCGCAAAGAGACACCACCCTTCCTGACAGCCCTCAGGGTCAGCCAGCACCATCAGAATACAGCCCTGGGCTCTCCTTGTGGTTCATCAGTCACTCTCCCCGCAGGTGAAAATTCAGCCACCACCTGTCCCTATGGTTACAGGCGAAGGTCACTGCTGCATTTTCCAAAGGCTGTGAACACCCCTTCAGCCAGCGGACATCCCCTAAACCAGAGGTCTTAAGCCAGACCTCTGAGGTTGCCACTCTCTCTGCCTTAAACACTGGTGCTCACAAGACCACCACCATCCCTCAGGTAGGGTCTCCTTCCAAGGCTGGGATAGACCTGCACTACCAACACTGAAGAAGCCCCTCCCCACAGCCCAGCCCCCTCAGACCATGGTCTCTGCAGAGACCCTCCCGCTAGCGACGGTCGATCCGCTTAGCACTCCGTGGTCTCGTGTCAGTGCCACCTGCAGGAAAGCAAAGCCTAGGGTGCCCCAGCATCCAGACCCAGGGAGTGCTCCCCAAACAGCTTGAGTGACAGATGCCACCCCTACACTGGTCACCAAGTGGCTGCCTCTGCTGGGCTTCCACTGGCAGGCTGTCAGCCTCTGTGTGGTGGGTCACACAGCCCTAGCGGTCCCAGGCTCACTGACTGCTGGACTCTGAAGGACTTGCCTCACATTGGCCTCCCTGCAAGCAAGCCTCTGTAGTACAATCCATCTCTTCTTCCAGGAGCCACAGGGAGGGGTGGGGTAGCACTCAGAACAAGACCTGTGAGCCTTGCTTGGCAACAGAAAATAACGTAAGGGCATGGCCAACCCCCCTCAGGAGCCCCTGACACACAGAGCTAAAGCCCAGCAGTATCTCTTCCTGCAGCGGAACTTCTGCACCGGGGTCAGCGCAGCCACACCCAGCTTCCTCCTGGCCAGGTCATAGTGAATGTCGTTCCAGAGCTGCACCAGCTCACGGCTGCCTCCTGGCACCCGACAACCCTGTCAAGGAGAGTCCACTAAAGCCACATGTTGGTAGGAAGAACCAGGTCTGGATGGACCCACGGTTAGCAGTGCTGAGGGCGACAGTGGGAAAGGAATAAACAGGCACAAGCTAGAACCTGGAACAAGTGACATCAAGCGGCCAGGGAGACATCAACTGCACAGAGCAAGGTCTTGGCCTCCTGCAGAGGGAATGACATACTGAGAGGGACTCCAGGTGCCGCCAGACTGGGGACCGGGGTGATGACGGGTGTACCTGGCCTTCTGATCACTGTCAGCGCTTCAAAGCCAGAAAGAAATCGGGTTTCACTCCACCTGCTGTGTTTATGAGCTGGCACCACTTGATGCACATCCAGTACTCAGATTCCCAAGCTGCTTGTCACTCACTCAAGTGAGAATTACCGGAACTAATCTTTGTATAAAACACCTCTCCCAGGCAGCCCTAAGGGGTTGGTCTGTGAGATGTGGGCCAGCAACTCATTGCTAGCTCCCGGCATACGGATAATGCTTGAATGGTGCACCCTGCCCCTCCTTCCAATGGCCACTGAGCCCACATGTACCTCCAGAAGCCGGCAGGCCGCCTGTTGCTGCTCCCGCTGGGCCGGGACACGGGCACACACCAGGGCCACATCTGCATTGTCCAGGAGGTGCGGGCACAGCTGGCTGTCCAGAATGGCAGAAACCAAAGGCTGCATCTGAGTGAGGTCATCTTGGATGTCACGGCATAGGCTGCCCGCGAGGGGCACCAGCTCCGCCGGGGGTGGGTGGGTGTTCCCGTGCTCCCTCAGCAACATCAAGAAGCTCTGCATCATACCACTCTGCCAACAAAGACCAAGATCAGACCATGTGACACAGCAGGCCACACTGCAACCTCCATGCCAGATCAGCTGTGGTGCCCAATTGGGAATGGCCAAGGACCACACGCCTGCAAAATTTCCTTCTACCCTCCACCAGAAAAAGTCTGAATCCTGAGAGGGTGACCCCAAGGGAGAGTGGCCAGCACTAGTCCTCCTCTTTGTCAACACTATTACTGATGTCATTGGAATGAGGTGGGGAGAGAACTCCTGCTAGTCTACTCCCCAAATATTCACAAGAGGCTATGCAAAGCCAGGTGAAAATTAGTATGGACCTCCCACGTGGACAACACAAACCGACCACCTGAGCTATCACCCACTGCTTCCCTGCCTCCCAGGGTGCAGTTGGGGGCCAGGCTTGAACCCAGATACCTCACAACGATAGGTGGGATCCCCAGCAGACTTAACTGTTACTCCAGAGCCTGCCCCCAGTCATCTGACTTCCCTGAGCCTCCCTTTTCCGCACAAGATAAACTTGATTCTGTTAAACTTGATTCTGTTTCCTCGGGGAGGCCCCAAAGGCGTTCCGGGGCACTTGCCCACTGCCGCTGCTGCTCACTGAAAACGCTCAGCTTCCACAGCTCAGCCCCGGAAAGGGCGGCCATGAGCAACGGGGTCTGTACCCAGAGCCTACCAAAAATGCTCCCGGGCTAAAGCCTAGGCCTCCACTTCGCCTGGTGCCCTGTGCCACCGCCAGGTCTCACTACAGTGCCAGCTCTCTCCTCATGGGGTCCTGACCCCTCACCGCCTCCTCACTGCGTCCCGACCCCGAGTCCCAGCAGCTCCTCACATGTCCTCAACCCGTGTCCCAGCACCTCCTCACCCGGTCAGCCCGCACAGGGTCCCGACGCCCCCTCACCCGGTCCCGACGCCCTCTCAGGGTCCCGACGCCCCCTCACCCAGTTCCGACGCCCCCTCACCCGGTCCCGACGCCCCCTCACCCAGTCGCAATGCCCCCTCAGGGTCCCGACACCCCCTCACCCAGTCGCAATGCCCCCTCAGGGTCCCGACACCCCCTCACCCGGTCCGACGCCCCCTCAGGGTCCGGACGCCCCCTCACCCAGTCCCGACGCCCCCTCAGGGTCCCGACGCCCCCTCAGGGTCCCGACGCCTCCTCAGAGTCCCGACACCCCCTCAGGGTCCCGACACCCCCTCACCCGGTCCCGAAGCCCCCTCACCCGGTCAGCCCCCTCACCCGGTCCCGACGCCCCTCAGGGTCCCGACACCCCCTACCCGGTCCCGACGCCCTCTCAGGGTCCCGACGCCCCCTCAGGGTCCCGACGCCACCTCACCCCGACCCGACGCCCCCTCTGGGTCACGACGCCCCCTCAACCAGTCCCGACGCCCCCTCAGGGTTCCGACGCCCCCTCACCGGGTCCCGATGCCCCCTCAGGTTCCCGACACCCCCTCAGAGTCCCGACGCCCCCTCAGGGTCCCGACGCCCCCTCACCCGGCCCCGACGCCCCCTCAGGGTCCCGACGCCCCCTCACCCGGTCCCGACACCCCCTCAGGGTCCCGACACCCCCTCACCCGGTCCCGACGCCCCTCAGGGTCCCGACACCCCCTCACTCGGTCCCGACGCCCCCTCAGGGTCCCGACACCCCTCAGGGTCCCGACGCCCCCTCACGGGGTCACCTTCTCACGGGTCTTCACTCCCGGCGCCAGCGTCCCAAGCCCTGGACCCGCGTCCTCAGAGAAACCGGGGCTCCGGGAGACCAGGGCGGTGGAGGTGGGGGAGCTCCGGAAGACAGACGGCAAGGAAGGACGCGCGCACCGGGCGGCCGGGGCCTCCACCGGGCTAACCGACCTGCCCTACCGTGCCCGCTGCTCTCGCTGCTCTCGCTGCTCTGGGCCCGGGTGCAGCCCCGGGTGGAGGCCCAGGCTCACACCCCGTGCTGGGCGTCCAGGGCTCCCGCCCGCCACGCCGACTCACCTGCAATACCGTCCACTTCCCGCTTCCGCTGCGCGGACGTGCCGCACGAGCTCCTCACTCCCGCGGGACCGGAGGCACGGTCGCCCGCTGGCCCAGGACTGGAGTGGTCGCTACCATGTACCCACCCGCGGCCAATCACGAGGGGCAGACTGGCGGGGCGGGGGCGCTCAGGGGCAGCCGGAAGGAGTGGAGCTGCCTGGGGTGGGAGCCCTCTGCCCGGGGCGGGCGGGAAGAGGCGCGCTCGCCCCACGCGCTCGCCCCTCTCCCGGTTTCCCGGCGCCGGGCGCTGCTCCCCGACACCCGCTCCCCGTCCCCAGCCTCCCCGGAGACGGCGCTATTGGAATCCACACGCGCACGGTTCTGAATGCCCCAAAAAGGGCTCTGCTTGTGGGCAGGGAGGGGTTCCGACCCTAGGGCCTGAGCCCTAGTGACCACCGCACCGAGGAAGACATTAGGCACCTGTCGTCAACACCGGCCCCCACGATCTGGCCTCGCCCCTGCGTGCGGGGACACGTGACTCTTGTGCTGCAGACCGACCACGTAGGTTTCCAAGGTGGGCCAGGTCAGACTTGAATACAATTTTATTTTATTTTTATTGGAAAGGCAGAGATACAGAGAAGAGGAGAGACAGAGATGAAGATCTTCCGTCCAATGATTCACACCCCAAGCAGCCGCAATGGCTGGAGCTGAGCCAACCCAAAGCCAAGAGCCAGGAGCTTTTTCCGGGTATCCCATGTGGGTGCAGGGTCCCAAAGATTTAGGGTGTCCTCGATTGCTTTCCCAGGCCACAAGCGGGGAGGTGGATGAGAAGCGGGACTGCCAGGATTAGAACCAGCGCCCATATAGGATCCTGGCATGTTCAAGGTGAGGACTTTGGCCCCTAGGCCATCATGCCGGGCCCTATGTGTATAAACTTTTAAAACATATGACTTATTGGGCCCGGCGCGGTGGCGCAAGTGGTTAAAGGTCCTCGCCTTGCACGCCCGGGATCCCATGTGGGCGCCGGCAGCCTCGCTTCCCTTCCAGCTCCCTGCCTGTGGCCTGGGAAAGCAGTGGAGGACGGCCCAAAGCTTTGGGACCCTGCACCCGCGTGGGAGACCCGGAAGAGGCTCCTGGCTTCGGATCGGCATAGTTATATTTTTATTTATTGATATATTTATTTTTATTTATTTATCTAAGTTTTTATATTTATGTCTGTTTTTATTTATATGTTTATTTATATTTATTTCACCATTTCATATTTACATAGCTATTTATATTTATAGATTTTAATATTTCTATTTATTTTTATTTTTATTTATTTATATACTTCTCTATATTTATTTACATTCCTATTTATATATCAAATTATATTTATTTACATATTGATATATTCATATCTTTTCTATTTACATTTATTTCGGATATTTTTTATATTTATTTACATTCCTATTTATATATCTATCAATTTTTATTTATTCAAATATTTATTTATATATTGATATATTTATATTTTTTATATTTATATTTTTTATTTATTTATATATTTTTCTATATTGATTTACATTCCTATTTATATATATCCATCTTTATTTATTCAAATTATATTTATTTATTGATATATTTATATTTTTTATATTTATATATATTTCTGATATTTTTGTATATTTATTTACATTCATATTTATATATGTATCTATTTTTATTTATTCAAATATTCATTTATATATTGATATATTCATATTTTTAATATTTATATTAATTTTTATATTTTTCTATATTTCTTTACATTCATATTTCTATATCAAATTATATTTATTTATATATTGATACATTTATATTTTTATATTTTTATTTATTGATATATTTTTCTATGTTTATTTAAATTGCTATTTATATATCAAATTATATTTATTTATGTATTGATATATTTCTATTTTTATATTTAAATTTATTTTTAGTTTTATTTATTTATATATTTTTCTATATTCCTTTACATTCCTATTTCTATATCTATCTATTTTTATTTATTCAAATTCTATTTCTCTGTCTCTCCTCTCTGTATATCCGCCTTTCCAATGAAAAAATAATAAAAATAAATTAAAAAAAAAGAGAGAGGATGAGTGATCCAGGATGCCTGTGGGGCAGTCTCTGCTATGGTGGCACTGAGTCTGGGTCTAATTAAAAGACCAGGAGTCCCAGCAGAAGAGCCTGGCTCTCCCCGCCAACAAACAGGATCTAAGTAGGTCAGTAACGGGTGCAGACACGGTCTGCTCCAAGTAGACTCACCTGTGAGGTTAGGATCGCTGAGGGCAGCGACAGACACAGCCAGAGCATCATCTGCAGGGTGCATCACAAAGTCCTGCCTGTGACCGGGGACCAGATGTCCAGCCTGCAAGGAAATATCCTTGGAGGATGCAAGCGCAAGGGACATCAACCACGATTCAGAGGCCACCAGAGAGGGCTCCACAACGCTACTGTTGGCAGGCAGAGTGCAGAGACCAGAGCCAGGGCAGATGGTGAGGACGGAGGCAGGATCATTGCCATGCTCTTCCTGGTGCATCTCACCACCCTGCAGGAACCTGGAAAACATAGCAAAGACTGTCCCTCCATCGACAGTGGGGGCTACACAATGTAGGCTCGTCTAGGTTCAACCACAAAGGCTGCAGGGCCCAGCACAGCACTAACACACTGCTCCTATTCTATTTTTTTTTTAAGAAGAAGGGTTTTCTTTATTTTTATTATTATTTTTTTTATTGGAAAGGCGGATATACAGAGAGGACAGACAGAGATGAAGATCTTCCATCTGATGATTCACTCCCCAAGTGAGCGCAACGGGCCAATACTATGCCGATCCGAAGCCAGGAGCCTCTTCCGGGTCTCCCACGCGGGTGCAGGGTCCCAAAGCTTTGGGCCGTCCTCGACTGCTTTCCCAGGCCACAGGCAGGGAGCTGGAAGGGAAGCAGGGCTGCCGGGATTAGAACCGGCGCCCATATGGGATCCCGGGTGTGCAAGGCGAGGACCCTAACCACCCCGCCACCGC